TTTTTTTTTTTTTTTTTGGGAGAAACATAACTTTTCATTCCAATGAGACCACCGGGGACGGGAACACACCCCTACATATCAACCCGGTACAAACTTGCTGAGGTCATACTCAGCTTAGGCTCCTGGAAACCGGGTCCAGTGTCTCTTAGAGGAATCTAAAAAAAAATAAAAAATTGTAAAACAATTTTGTAGCAGTGTAATATCCTTACATAGGGGAGGGGACCTGAGGGGAGGCACAGGGATTGGTCCTGTTGGCATGGTCCCTGATGCTACCGGCTGTCCCCTAGCCGGTATCGCCCACCTGCAGGTCGGGAGCAGCCCCCGCATGTTCTCTCGTGAACACTCTGCTATGGGGTTCCCCGTATGCCTACAATTAGGAGTAGTGGTAGGTAGGTAGTGTGAGGTGAAATTGAGAGAAGAATGTAGCTTTAAAAAAAAAAAAAAAAAGAAGCCAGCATGTTTCTAAGAACGAAACACTATTGGCAAAGAACTACGAGCTATAAACTGCAAATCTCGAAAATGCACGAGGCAATCCACGAAGATTTTAACAATTTAACCCTAAGATTATTTCCGAAGACAAACTAAATTCTTAGATACAATTCAATTCCAAAATTCAATCCAAGTGCATACTGAATTTAAAACTGGGCCTATTGATATTGTCTGCAGAGAGTGGACGTCTACAAACTCTCAAACTAAAGGGACACTCTCAATGACTAAGAGCTGGGAAAGAAAATGAAACATTAGGGCTACCCTCTCGTCCTTACTATCCAAAACACTGTGAAGAGCCTTTGTTGCCTTGACGGGTTTCCCACCACACACCCAGTGGATACAACTCTAGTTTGCTCTTCACGGGGTCTCTCGTATCATCCCAACCATATGAGTATCACCCTAAATCACTGCAACCATACCCCAGCGCTTTAAGGACATCAAGAATCTGTGAGTGGTCTTGAACTTCTGAAATATTGCAACATTAAACACAGCTCCCAAGTCCTAGCCTCGACACTGTGACACCAAGCGCGGTTATGGATGGCAGTTGTCTTACCCTTCGCGCCCGGGGAACGTTCCCACCGCCACTAGCGAGTCTCCCACTCCCGCTGATGGTGCCGCCGCCCATAGGGCTTCAGGGTTTTTTTCGACAGTCACGCTTCCGTGCATCTACAAACTATCAAACTAAAGGAACCATCT